GAAAGTCCTCGACTTACGACCGGTTGGGTAGTCCTCGACTTACGACTGGCTTAGTCCTCGACTTACGACCAGTTTAGTCCTCGACTTACGACCGGTTGGGGTCACGGCATTAAAAAGGTTGAGAACCACTGCATTAACTTCACATCTCATCTCTGCTCCAGAGAGATGAGATGTGGAAAGCCTGCATCCCCTCTCAACCTCCCATTTATCCCAACAACCCTGTAAGGTAGGTTGGGGGAGAGGGAGAAGGAGAGGCTGTCATGGGTGACCCCAAGCAAAGTCAATGGGGGAAGCCAGAGGCAATCAAAACGGTGAGATTTACCTAACAATTGCAGCAAATAAGGTCGTAATATTGGGTGCCTCTCTCTTAATGGCCAGATTGGTTAGGAATGGAAGTTCTGGTCCCAACTGTGAGTTGGAGAAGCAAAGGTGGATATTTGATCAGGGATCAGAGTTAGGGTTAATATTTGGAATGATTGGGGATTGAAGCGGTGGTAAATTTTCTATGAGTTGATTACAATAACAGTTTGTTTACAGAGAGTTTTGGAATGTGTTTTTCCTCTTATTCCTGTTTATGGTTTTTTATTATTCTTATGCTTTTACATAACACGTTCACTATTTTTGTTTTTACCGTTAACCATTTTGTTCCTGACAGGCTGATAATTTGTAAGTACATTTAGTAGTTTTAACAATTTGAAATTCTTTTGGTCTGTTTCGCAAGGGGGGGGGGAAACCAACATTTCTGTATTATACCAATCAGCATTCAACATTTCTGAATTATACTAATCAGCATCATATACTAGGTGTAGTATATGTGCTAGGCTTTTTTTAAAGACATTTTTGTTAATGTCTTTTTTGTTGTGTTTTTTAAAAAAAAATATTTTAGTGTTTTGTATTTTAATCTTCTTTGAATAAACTAAAATTTTCTGGAAAAAAAGAGACTACCTGTAGAGTTGAATCCCCTTCTCTGCACTTTAATCCAACTTTTCATCTCCTGACAGTGAGAACAATTAACCAGTGGAACAACCTGCCTCCAGAAGCAGTGAATGCGCCAACACTGGAAGTTTTTAAGAAGAGACTGGACAGCCATTTGTCTGAAATGGTATAGGGTTTCCTGCCTGAGCAGGGGGTTGGACTAGATGACCTCCAAGGTACCTTCCAACTTTATCATCATTATTATTATTATTATTATTATATTTGGATTTATATCCCGCCCTTCTCCTCGCGGACTCAGGGCGGTTATTATTATTATCATTATTATTATTATGCTCCATCTGATTTCCTCTGAGCCAGATTTACAAGCTTTACATGTTACTATCAACCAGGGTTTCTCAAGCTTGGCAAGATGCTGGCTGGGGAATCCTGGGATCTAAATCCACTCGTCTTCAAGTTGCCAAGTTTGAGAATCCCTGCCTAAGCCAACACCCATCAGGCCGGGGAGGGGGGCATTTGCTCTCCTGGGGGAGCTGAGTCCTCGTGCAAGGCATCACAACAGCCCATTATCCAACACAAGAGGAGCCCGCCACAAAAACAGAGGCCTCCAAGCTATAACTCACCCTTACCCAGCACACGTGGAAGGCGCCAGTAGAGTTGCCAACGGCACTGGCAAGTTGACGAACAAAACTTGGTTTATGTAAGAAAGTCCCCCCCTCCTGACTGGCACTCGGGGGGGTGTGGGGGGGTCAATGGCAGTTGCAGCAGCAGCAGCAGCCCCCCCTTCCCTTGGCAGAGAACACCCACATCTGTCCGGGCCCCCATTCAACTCCATCTGTCCACCCCATGTAAATTGGGGAAGACAAACGAGCCTTTGAGGCAGAAGAAGAATGACCAGAAGAATGGGGGAGGGAGAATAAATAAATGGGGTCTGGGGTAAGACCGAATCAGGCATTCTGGGAACCCTCCCGAGATTAGTCACAAAGCATTCATCTCCCCCCGTCTTAACAATAGACGCTGAATTCTGACCGAATCCCAGCTGTCACTCTTTGAATGAAAGAAAACAAGATTTAGAGAGTCCAGGGTAGGTTTGCTTCGAGGGGCAAAAATCCAGACACACATTTTTGTAGGCGTGCACGGGGTCTGCGTGCATGCGTGTACCTACGTACGTATGTAGTGGCACGCATTCATCAGCATCTCGCCAAGGAGCCCGGCTTTTGTCTGTTAAATGGCTCCCAAGCGGATTAATTTGCTGGAGCAAATTTCTCCAGCTTTCCTAAGGAAATGCAAAGCGTCGAACGGGAGAAAAATGAAAAAACGGTGGGGCCTGACTCTCCCCCCCCCATACACCATTGGGATCAGAAACACCACTCCATCGCCACAAGCCAACTTTCTCGTGGGCAAACCTCAATGCTCCAAGGGCTTACTTCTCTGACTGATATCTACCCCACCTTTTCTTCAGGAACACAACAGGGTCTATGACAGTGATGGCGACCCTTATTGAGACCGAGTGCCCAAAACTGCCCCCCCAGCCCCGTCCCCGCTCCGCCCTGCCCGCTGGGTCACCCACCACCTCCACGGCCCACCACAGATCACCCAGGCAGCCCAGCAGCGCCATGGCGCCCATGCCCTCCGCCCATGCCCCACAGCATCATCTGTGCGCGATGGGGCGCAAGGGCGGAGTCTTGTTCCCGCTGCCCGGCCACCATGTCCTTGGCTGCACTGCTTCGCGTGGGCCGCGCCCAGGGGTGACTCTCCTCCGGGGGGGCTGCTGGTGAGGAGGGGGTCGTGGGAGGAGGCAGGGCTGGGGCAACGGTGCGTGTGCCCACAGAGAGGGCTCCGAGTGCCGCCTCTGGCATGTGTGCCATAGGTTCGCCACCACTGGTCTATGATAAGTCGCTGCAGCAGCCAACTTCCCGTAGAACAGCTCAAGTTTGGCAACTCACCCCGGAACAACTCGCTGCGGGACAAAAGTTACACTACTATCAAAGAAACGGTGGAATAGAGTTATTAAAGAAAAAAATGCAAAAGGAGGGACAGAATGAAACGTGAACGACAAAAATTAAAATATTTTTATTTTATTTTAAATAATTAAACCGAATTGTTAAACTGTCCCACAGCTAGTTGGCGGCAGTGAGTTGTCCCTTTCCAGCACAACATGCTACAACCCCCCTCCCATTTTCCCCCTGTAAGAACCACCCTTGGGATGGGTAGGTAAGTCACACAATGGTTTCCCATGATTGACAACAGCCTCAAGCCAGGATGACCCTGGTCGTAGTTCTCCACTTAGCCATAATGCCCACTTGATTCTTGATTTGGTTCAATTTAGTTAACTTCTACTGAAATTGTCTAGATTGGAACTGGGCAGGCAACTTTCATATTTCTTCAACAGAAAAGTCAAAGAGACCAGAGCAAGCTGAATTTTTCATCCATCCACTTGGGATAGCGTTGGTTTTTGACCCGAGGGCAGCCGATACCCGTTATGGAGTCAGCTAAGAAAGCAAAAGCTTGCAAAATCCCCCGAGGGCACCAAATTATGACATTTCTGGCTTCTACATCCTGTTCTACGATGTTCCTTGAATGCACCAGGATTTGTAGATAGGATTGGATTGGAACAGCCTTCCCCAACCTGGTGCTCTCCAGCTGTGGTGCGAGCACCCAGGTTTGTTAATCTGAGGAGATGCAATCCTGTTGCGTCTGGAAGGAACCAATTCCAGAGCCACCAGATTACAGAAGGCATGCTGGTTCACGGGGATAATGTTCCAGTTGATTCCTCAACAAGTGATCTAATAATCAACAGCGGAACCGCATATACTTCCATGTCCTCTTTTGGTAAACCAGCATTTGCTAGAAGGAGCCCAAGAGACTTTGTCCAGGCACATGGATATAAACAAGCTCTCAGTGGCATGAAGAGGAACTGTATTTCCCTCATAACATGGAGGAAAAACCCCAGGCCCCGTGCACCAAAACCCTATAAAACTGTCTCCATGTTCTTTCAAATAGCCTCTTTCATCCACCTTCAGCATCCAAACCTAGCCTTCTTCAGTCTCCCCACAAAGGGAAAAGGGGGGTCTGGGTCACTTCTATCTCAAGGCCAATCTAACAGAATAACAGAGTTGGAGGGGACCTTGGAGGTCTTCTAGTCAAGCCCCTTCCTCAAGCAGGAGACCCTTTACCATTTCAGACAGGTGGCTGCCCGTTCTTTTCTTAAAAGCCTCCAGTGATGAAGCACCTACAACTTCTGGAGGCAGGCAGTTCCACTGGTTAATTGTCCTCACTGTCAGGAAATCTCTCTTTAGTTCTAGGTTGGCTCTCTCTTGGATAAGTTTCCATCCATTGCTTCTTATCCTGCCTTCAAGGTGTTTTGGAGAATAGGTTGTCTCCCCTCTTCATAGTGGCAGCCCCTCAAATATTGGAGCACTGCTGTCATGTCCCCCCTCGTCCTTCTCTTCATTAAACTAGACCTACCCAATTCCTGCAACCGTTCTTCATATGTTTTAGCCTCCAGTCCTCTAAATCTCTTTCTTGCTCTTTTCTGCACTCTTTCCAGAGTCTCTAAATCTATCTTCAACTACAGGGGTTCTCAACCTTGGCAACTTTAAGACTTGTGGACTTCAACTCCCAGAATTCCTCAGCCAGCTTTGCCAAGGTTGAGAACCCCTTATGTATCTAGTACATAAGAGGGAAAGATACCAAAACCTTTGTCAACTCCTTGAAGAACAGCCCAGCTTTTTACGCTGAGCCATAATGTGGGCTTCCTTCTATTCCTACAACTACCTGGTGTGTGTTTGTTCTCGTTAGGGATTGGCATAAACAAAACCCTGCAGTGTGTTTTCAGGCCCAAAACAAAGCAGATCCATGCCAAATAGGAATATCCTCCTTCGGTTGAGACAAAATTCAAAAGGCCTGTGTTCTTTTCTTTGGGAAAAGAAAAAGAAAAACTCTCGTGTCCCAAGCTTGGAACACTAAAAACAAACAACAAACAAAAACATCTCAGGGTTGAAATCTTTTGCACGCTTTCACTCCCCGTGCTCATAAAAAAAAACAAAAAACAAGCTGGTACTCACAGGCATGCCCCTGTTCCATTTTGGTAGGTTTCACACTTCCCTCCGTTCAAGCAGGATTCGGAAGGCTGGGTACATCGCAAACCTGCAAGAAGAGAACACGGATGATTTGATGGATGATTTGATGGCCCTGGTGACGCTCATCCGCGGGAAGGGAAGATGTCAAGAGAGGCACACAGCCCATGTAGGAACCACTGCAGCCTTGGCCCACTTCGTGGCCTCTGAGGTGTCGGGCTTCCCCTCCCCAAACACTGAGCTAAGCTAGCATGGGGTTAATGGCTGGTGCTCTCGGAACACACATCCGGTTGGGAAAAGTTAAAGGACAGAGTTAGGATGTTAAGTCATCTTTACAGATGCAGCATTTCAGGGCTTTTGTAAAACAGCAGGGCTTCCCTGTTTCAGTTTACCAAACTTTGGATTTCAGGGACCCCTGATTTCCTTTGAAGCAACACAGCCCATTATATGCAAAGCAATGCAAAACATGGCAATCGATGCAAATCACCTGAATTTGAAATCAATGGACATTGAAGTGGAGCAGACATCCCTCCACCAAAAATCGTCCACAAAGTAGAAGATTTATTGTACAGATTCAAGTGGCCTCAAAAATGCAGTATTTCTTCTCCCCCCCCCCCACTCCCCCAACTGACAGCCACCTACCCCCATTTTACAGGCAGGAACTCAAAAGGTAAGTCAGGTTAAGTTTCCAGGACGTGAATCATAATTTACCTTCTTAAATATGTTCTTTTCAGGTGATTTCCAAATAATGAAGAGTCATAATTGGAACCAGAATCTTGCTTTAGCAGTTTATAAGGTCACCAGATCTGTTTATTTTATTTATTTGTATCCCACCTTTATTATTTTTACAAAGAAGTCAGTGAATATATCCAACACACCTTCCTCCTCCTCAACAACCCTGCGAGGTGGGTTGGGCTGAGAGATAGGGACTGGCCCAAAGTGAGCCAGGTGGCTTTCACGCTTAAGGCAGGACTAGAATTCACCATCTCCTGGTGATTGGGCCCAAAGACACCCAGGTGGCTTTCACNGCCAGCCTCCATTTTGTTTGTTAGATTTAAGACAGGGGTCTTCAAACTTGGCCCTTTTATGACTTGTGGACTTCAGCTCCCAGAATTCCTCAGCCAGCCTCCATTTTGTTTGTTAGATTTAAGACAGGGGTCTTCAAACTTGGCCCTTTTATGACTTGAGGACTTCAACTCCCAGAATTCCTCAGCCAGCCTCCATTTTGTTTGTTAGATTTAAGACAGGGGTCTTCAAACTCGGCCCTTTTATGACTTGTGGACTTTCAGAATTCCTCAGCCAGGCACGCTGGCTGAGGAATTCTGGGAATTGAAGTCCACAAGTCATAAAAGGGCCAAGTTTGAAGACCCCTGTCCTAGCCTGTGCCTTAAACCACGACTAGATCAAACTAGTTCTTTATCCTAAAAGAATGGCTTACTACGCACCAAGGAAGGCACCTGAAACGTTTGAGTTTCCTCAGCTTCATACATGATTGTGTAAATGACAATCTGTGGTGTGCCACTTGCCCTTCCCAGCATGGGATTCCCCCCCCCCATTTCTAGTGCTAAGTGGTCATGGCTCTACCCCTGCTTAGCTATTCCGAGATCAACCAAGTTGCTTTGTGGGGGGGGGAGAGGGGGGATCCTAAAGAAACCCACCCAGGAAATTCCAGCTTAGCAATTCTCATTAAAAAAAAATGGTATCTCTTCTGGAGATTTCTCTCTGAACAAAGCAGATAAAAAGGAAAATCTGCTTCATGGGATGGACTGGCATTATGGGATGGCAACTGGGACTTCGTCAGACAGGACGGGGGGAGCCAACCCTCGCTATAATTCCAGCATCTCTGGGCTACGAGTCATCTGAGATTCTAATACCTGCCAGGACCACGGTTGGTGTCTTCAATCTCTGAAGATGACAATCTGAGCCAAATTAAACGGATGCCAAGTTCCACTCTCCTTCCTCCATTCTGGGAAACTGTGTTTCAACTTAGCCACAGCATCTCTGACACAAGTGTTTTTCAAGCTTGGACGTTTCAAGATATGTGGACTTCAATTCCCAGAATTCCCCAGCCAGCCATGCTGGCTGGGGAATTCTGGGAGTTGAAGTCCAAACACCTTAAAGCGGTCAAGCTTAAACAGCGCTGCTCTATGGACCTGTCTGTGAAGTCAGTTTAACTCAAAGAAGACTTTGTTTCTACAAGAATAAATAAGCATAATTCAGCATCCTGGCTGAAGCCCACGCATGTTAAAGTGGCCAAGGTTGAAAATCATAAATTATGACGATTGCACATGGGCTAACTTCACCAAACATCCCCACCTAAGGGTAAAACTAGGATTCAGTCATTTGTGGGCCAGGGTGTTGTGGGGACTTCACGGAGCAAACTAACAGGCTAGACTCGGTTTTCCCTTGTTGGTTTGGGCACTGCATGTTCTGTCAACAGGATAAATGTATTTTGTTAACCCCGAAAATAGTTTTGTCAGGCTGCCTGAATCAACTCAAAATTGGTTTGGCTGTGAGAAGTTTCAGGAACATATATTTTTTTCTGAACAGCCACTGGCAGGAAGAGCAGTTGACTTTTTTGACAGATTAGTAAAGGTCATATTTTTTTAAAAAGGGAAATTTTTATAAAACATCAAGAAGGATGCCAATCACAGATTGGGCTTCTAAATAGGACCATTTGACCTGGTCTGCACAGCACATTAAGCCACAGTTTAGAGATCCGTGGTTCACATAGTTAATTGGTTTGGCACATATTAACAGAGGATTATAGGTTTACCAACTACAGCAGCTTTGCACATTATGCTAAGCCACAATCAAGCTGCATGTAAGTACAGGAAGAGTTGCTAGCCTTCCAAGTCGTCCAATGAAATCAAGATTTATTATTTGTAAAAAGTGCAATAAAGGAAACCAGTGTGATGCAAAAAAAACCATAAACTGCTAAAGCAGAGGCCTCTGTTTGGGTTAGGTATTAAATGCACATTTGCTTTAATTGCCTGCAATGAGGAAGAATTGTTCCTAGGTGACTTGATATGGAAGCATTTGTGAACCGGAAGAAATGACCTGGTTACTTTCAAATCCTCTAAAGAAATAAGGAAGAGGGGTTTTTTTTGTCTCAGAGCATCTTAACAAGTTGATTTATCGTCCCACTTTGGTGAACCACCAAATGCAGACTTGAGCAATCTTCTTCTGCCTGGTAAGTAACCAAATAACAGAGTTGAAGGGACCTTGGAGGTCTTCTAGCTCAACCCTTTGCTGAAGCAGGAAACCCTATATACCATTCCAGACAAGTGTCTGTCCAGTCTCTTTTTTAAAAGGCTGCAGTGATGGAGCACCCACAACTTTTGAAGGCCAGCTGGATAATTGTCCTCACTGTTAGGAAGTTTCTCCTTAATTCCAGGTTGCTTCTCTCCTTGATTAGTTTCCATCCATTGTCTCTTGTCTTGCCTGTTGGTGCTTTGGAGGCAGCCCCTCAAACATTTGAAGACTGCTATCATGTTAGCCCAAGTTTTTCTTTTCACTAGACTAGACATGTCCAATTCCTGCAACTGTTCTTCATGTTTTAGCCTCCAGTCCCCTAATCATCTTTGTTGCTCTTCTCTGCACTCTTTCCAGAGTCTCAACAGTCTCTCAAAAGTACCCCAAAGGCGTTACAGAGGAAAATAAATCAACTTGGAGTCAAAGACCAGCAGAAAGCAAAATTATGCTTGCCCAAACTTAAAAACATTCTTTTAGTCTACTAAAACAATACTGTCATAGACCAATCTAGCTTAAAAGAATATGGAATGACCCATCACTGCAGGGAAAAAAAAAGTGGAGCAACGCCAAGCCTCCAAAAGAATTCCTACGTTAAGCTAAGCCATGACTTGTTAAAGAAGCCATCATGGCTGGCTCATGTAAATCACATCAAACCCTCCAATCCATGGGGGTTCAGCCCAGGATGCCCCTCTGAAGACCCACTGGGGGGGGGGTCTTCAGGGAAGGGGGATCAAAAATATCACGATGGCCTCCATCACCATGCCATCAAAGGCCCAGCCCTTTTTTTTTAGCATGCACAAGTATGTCATGGGTGTGTGTGTGTGTGTGTGTGTGTGTGTGTGTGTGTGTGACTTTTTGTCCCTTTGTACTGGGGGAGAAGAGGGTCCAACTATCGGGGGTGGTCTCTGCTTCCATCAGAAAGGGAGAAAACTCGCGGGCTCCTAAAATCTGAGCAGCCCTGACCCCCCCCCCAAAGGAGAACATTGGCAAAGGTTACAAGCACACTTGAGGCTCTGTTAAGATGCTCCCAGATAGGGCTTTGGGGCTGTGCAAATGCCCCCTTTTCTTTCTTTCCAAGGGGGGGAGAGACACGTGCACCACCCTCCTGGAGCAACGCCCCCCCCCACCGCCCCGTCTGGCTTGGCAGTTACTCGGCCTTTCCTACTCGGCGCGTGGGAAAAAGCAACAGCTGGGCCGCTCGGCAGTGCCTGCCCAGACAAAGGGGGGATCGGAGCCGCCCCCCCCACCCTGTCCCTGGGGAGGTGCCTGCTGCCGGCCGGCCGGAGTGGACCGAGCAGGCACCCAGGAAGAAACACAAGCCAGGCTACCTGCACGTGACACACACACACACACACACAGTAGATACTTATGACGGTCGCTATGTCCCAAGATCCCCTTTTTTGCGACCTTCTGACCAGCAAAGCCAATCTGGGGGAGCCCGATTCACTTAACAACCGGCTGACTTAACTTATCCACTGCAGCGATTCACTTAACAACCGGGGCAGGAAAGCTCGTAAAGACGGGGCAAAACTCGCTTAGCCCAAGTCTCTCGGTTAGCCACGGAGGTTTGGGGCTCAGTCGTGGTCGTAACGTCGAGGACCACCTGTACAGTACAAAGCTGGAATTGCCCTTTGCAAAGGGGGAAAAAAAAACAAAACCCGCAAAAGCGAAACCAGACGCTGCCCCAGGAAGCCCGAACCGACTTCCTCTTCACTTCCCGAAAGGCAGAGGCGGAAGGCGAGGGGGGGGGCAGCCCGCCCGCATTTGGGGTTGCCCGAGAACAGCCCCCGGGGCAGAAGACGCCTCCTTCCTTAA